TGAGGAAAGAGCGAGCTTGCTGGAGGATCCCTCATGGGCCCCAGGGCTGCCTGGACCTCGGCAGTGGGAGTTCGCGGCTTCTCTTTTTGGTCTGCGGCTAAGACTCAGCAACCAGCTTCGAGCCTCCCTTGCTCTCAGGTTGAATTTGGGATTTTGACTGGCTCAACTGACAGAATCAGGTGGTACAAGTGTGTTTCCAGGGGAGGCACCTCGCTGGATGGTGGGGCAAAGATGGGGGGGTTCAAAGAGGTGAGAACATGCACGTGAACAGTACAGACTCTCGCTGAAGTGTCTGATTCGTTAAACGTAGGATTCTCGTCTGTGAGAGTGGGATCATAATAGCATGTGTCTCATTCAGTTCAAGTGCAGATGAAATGAGCCCCAATGTGGACAACCCTTAGCACAGTGCCTGGTATCCACCTGGCACCCAGTACCTGTTTGCCATCATTTTTATAATCGTGACATCTAATACTTTGTCCTCGTCCTGAGGGACAAATTTGACTTGTTCTTGCTGTGAGTGAATCATTCAGGTTGTGAGAAAGCTGGGGGGAAGTCCTGTGTTTTCGGGGGGGGGCAGGATGGAGGATGGGAACCCTGGGGTCTGGCTAGCTCCCCAGCAGGACTCCCGGCAATGGGCATTGACATTTCAGTGTGGCTTTGTTGTTCTTTACGTGGGTCTGAAAGGGCATTGCTATTCTATTGGTATTTTATTGCTTTTTATGGAGGAATCCTATCCTATAGAGACTTGCTTGAATATGGGGACCCCTGATGGTCCAGGGACTCATTCTCAGCTAATGCCAAGGGTCTCAGTGGGTCTCCTTTTGGTGCCGTCTGCTACCGGCTGCCGTGGCAGCCCCTTCATCTCCCTGACCTTCACAGCTGACCTCCACTAGCTTGCTTTTGTTTGGTTTCTCACTCGGTTTCTATTAGGACAGATCTTGAACATGAGCAGCCATGCATTCACCCCTTGCATAAGAATTTTAGTTCTTTTATTTAGTTATTTAGGATTTATTGGCTTATGTATCTATCTGAGCACTTGTGGGTAAATGTGGGCACAATGCATAGGTGTGCCCTTTATTGTGCTTTAAAGAGATCATGGAAAAAAAAAAAGGTCATGGATGCATTGATGGAAGCTGTGTGATAAGAAAAATGCGGTGTGTGCCGGGACATTTTTGGTTCCTACTGAGAAATCCTGAGGATGCCTAAGTACACAGAGTCTGTAATGTATTATTGGAAAAGAGACCATTATAATTCAGATCACAGTGATTTGCAGCTACTGCAAGGTCACTGAGACCCTTTCTGTGATCTTCCGGTTGTACCAGGTCGCAGAGAATGCTAAGCTGTGGATATCAAATGCTGATTTTTCTGATTTCTTGCTTTATTGCTGTGGATCTTGGTGTAAAACAGGGGCACAATTTTGGGGCAATAAACTGCTGTGGAATTGAGGAGCAAAAGTCCCAAGGCATTTTTGACACAAGTCATAAATAATGCACAGTTGTAACTTGGGGAATATATGACTATAGACATTTCCTGGGCATATTACTGATAATGTTATTTGATCAGTTTCTTCCAATTTATCCTATCAGATGTCGGAAAAAATAGATAAGTGACTGAAGACAGGTGTTTTGAAATAGATGGTTTAAAAACCATGGGCATTTTTATGCCTACCCTCTAGTGACAGACCAAGTTTCTGAAGCTAAATGACTTTTCCTCATTATTACAAATGACAAATGAGGAGCTTCCCATAAAATCTCTTATCGGGACTCGTATTCAATTACTCCTGTTCTTGAACGGGACATGGTGTATACTCATTGGTCCTCTTGAGAATGTCATAGTGTTTAGTCACTTCACTTTGTCTTGTTTTGAAGGATTTCATGGCAAAAACATACTTTATTACGTAAGGTGGATTTTAAAGATATATGGTGAAACCCTGCATTATTATTATTATAAAATGAAATAAATTGATTCAATTTGCCTGGTTCTTGGAACAGGAAAAATTAAAAAAAAATTTTTTTAAAGATTTTATTTATTTATTTGACAGAGAGAGAGATAGTGAGAGCAGGAACACAAGCAGGGGGAGTGGGAGAATGAGAAGCAGGCTTCCAGCTGAGCGGGGAGCCCGATGCAGGGCTCAATCCCAGGACCCTGGGATCATGACCTGAGCCGAAGGCAGACGCTTAAATGACTGAGCCACCCAGGCACCCCAGAACAGAAAAATTTTAAAAGTTATCTTCAGTTATCAAGTTGTAAAGAACCATCTTTTTATTGTGTAGAACAATCCATTAGGGTAAACATGATATAAACACTGGATTTTATGTAGGGGAAAGATTTTGATTATCACAGACCATAAAACGTAGTGCCCAGAATCTCTAATTAGCTTAATTCTAGACTGAAAAATAAAGAGTGAACCTGCTTTATTCCCTGTTATGTGGCTCCGTGGGAGATCCCGTTTGTCAGCCATGCTGGGTCATGTGATTGAATAGCTCCTGGGGTGTCATCCACAGTGGGGTGACTTACCAAGCAAGCAGTTCTCTGTCAAGACCTCAAAAGAGAATGGAGAGTGTTTATAAATGTATATTTGGTGCAGGGTCCAACTGTGGAGTCAGGATGCCCCTTCACGTGTGGGCCAGGCCAGTTTTCCTGTTACTTGTCACAGCCAGGGCCAGTGTGTGGACTGAGATTACAATAACCCTGGGCATCCAGCAACCATTTACCTCACATGGGGATCCCAGTCCACCCCCATCAAGAGAGCATGGACTAATTCTGAGTCTAACTCTGAGCTCCTGCCCCCAAAAAACAGCTGCTGGTTTTTGTTTTGGCTTTATTTTAATTTTTAATTTATTATTATTTATTTACTTAATAAATGCATATTTTTTTAAATTTAAATTTTAGGTAGTTAGCATATAGTGCAATATTGATTTCTGGAGTGGGATTCAGTGATTCATCACTTCCATATAACACCCAGTGCTCATCACAACAAGTGCCCTCCTTAGTACCCATCACCCCTCTAGCCCATCTCCCACCCACCTCCCTCCAGAAACCCTCGGTTTGTTCTTTATCATTAAGAGTCTCTTATGGCTTGTTTCCCTCTCTCCTTTTTTCTTTTCCCCCTTCCCATATGTTCATCTGTTTTCTTTTTTAAGTTCTACATATGAGTGAGATCATATGGTATCTGTCTTTCTCTGACTGACTTATTTCACTTAGCATAATACCTTTAGCTCCATCCTGTCATTGCAAGTGGCAAGATTTCATTCTTTTTGAAGGCTGAGTAATATTATTCATATATATGTATATATATATTTGTGTATATACAAATCTTCTTTATCCATTCATCAGTTGATGGACACTTGGGCTCTCTCCATAGTTTGGCTATTGTTGATAATGCTGCTATAAACACTGGGGTGCACGTATCCTTTTGAATCTGTATTTTTTTAAATCTTTTTAAAAAATTATTTGTTTGAAAAAAAAAATTATTTGTTTGACAGAGAGAGAGTGCAAGAGAGTACAAGCAGCGGGAGGGGCAGAGGGAGAGGGAGAAGCAGGCTCCCCACTGAGCAGGGAGCCCGATGTGGGACTCGATCCCAGGACCCTGGGATCATGACCTGAGCAAAAGGCTGATGCTTAACTGACTGAGCCACGCAGGCACCTCTGTATTTTTTTTTCCATCTTTTGGGTAAATATCTAGTAGTGCAATTGTTGGATCATAGGGTAGTTCTATTTTTAACATTTTGAGGATCCTCCATACTGTTTTCCACAGTGGCTGCACCAGCTTGCATTCCCACCAACAGTGCAAGAGAATACCCCTTTTTTTTTTTTTTAAAGATTTTATTTATTTATTTGAGACAGAGAGAATGAGAGACAGAGAGCATGAGAGGGAGGAGGGTCAGAGGGAGAAGCAGACTCCCTGCCGAGCAGGGAGCCCGATGCGGGACTCGATCCCGGGACTCCAGGATCATGACCTGAGCCGAAGGCAGTCGCTTAACCAACTGAGCCACCCAGGCGCCCGAGAATACCCCTTTTTTGTATCTTCGCCAACACCTGTTATTTCTTGTGTTGTTAATTTTAGCCCTTCTGACAGGTGTGAGATGGTATGTCTTTGTGGTTTTGATTTGTATTTCCTGATGATGAGTGATGTTGAGACAGCTGCTGTTTGTAAGAGACTTGGCATCCCTTCCCCAAAGCAAGGTATTTTAATTCCCATGGATCAGTTAGTATCTATAGGGAGAGCTTCAAGACCATTGCTTTCATTTTTTCCAGGGGACTCGGGCTCTTCCCTATGCCTGGAACACCCTTCTCACAGCCCTTGCCCTGGCTAATTTCTACTTGTCTTTCAGAGCTCAGGTTAGAGGTCTCTTCCTTGGGAACCCCAAGCTTGACTTAGATGCATTTCTAGCACTCTGTACTTCTGTTAGTGGAGCCCTTCCCACTCTGCCTTGGAATTTTGGTTTGAATAACTGTTTCCACCACTAGGCTATACATTTTTTCTTAGTATTTAAAAAAATTGTTTCTTTTTTATATTTAAATCTTTCATTCATATTGATTTAATTTGATGTAAAATGTGAGGTAGAGGTCAACTTAAGGAAGAATATTTCCCTTAATCTTTTCCTTACCTACATCAGGAAGATCACTACATACTCATTCAACATTTATTGAGGGACCACTGGGTATTAGCCACAGTAGTTGATGTTGGGGATGAGAAATGCATGATACTGCCCCTGACCTCAAGAAGTTTCTATTCTGTTGGAAAAGACATAAATACAAATGAACAGTCACTAGTCAGACCATATGAAATTGCTATTTTTATAGGCCAAGAATGGTCAAATATTGGCAATTTCATGGGTTTAATCCAATACAAAATAAACACAATGTCTTAAACTTTCTCAGAACATGGAGCCTGAGATAGACACATGCCTGTAGGCATTTTATTTGGAAATAATTCAAGGGAGCAGTAGAAAGGGAGGGACCAAGGGAGTGAAACAGGGAAAGAGAGAAAGCCAGTGTGCAAGGATGCTTGCGGAGTGGGCCAGTGTGACAGCCACTGGTGCTCAGTTCACTGGGATTTCTAAGGACCTTGATGAAAAGTGAGTCAGAACGTCCTGCACAGGGGATGAAAGGGCAACTTTATCCTTGGGTAGCCCGAGAGTGTTCACCTCCCCTGTATTTCTTCCATTTGGCCCATGCGTGTGTCTAATTGGTTTCTGTGGGTTTCCATTCTTGGCATCAGAGAAGGCCTGGGCCAAGCAGCATGGGCCGAGGAGAGGGGCAGTCAGATCATGCCTGTGTGCAGCTGGTTGACGTGGGGTTGACGCTAGTAGCTGCAGCAGTGGCTGGAGGAAGAGACGGAGCTGAGGCCGTGGGGACAGATGTTGGGTCCAAACAGCAGTAGTGGACGAGTGGCTAATTCTGTGGAGGTTTGGCTGGCAGGGAGAAGAGCTTAGTGACCAGGGAAACGGAAGAAGGGAGGGTTGAGCTGAGCCTTCCAGGACTCCTGGGTACCCTGCAGCTGGAGGGGGCTGGGAGTGGGCACTCCAGGTAGAGGATGCAGCGCGGGCACAGGCCCAGAGGCACGGAACATGCTACATCCGGAGAACTTGAAGTCAATTGATATGGCTGCGTTATAAAGCCTGGGGGTGAGAGGTGGATGTGGCTGGAGAGATAGGCAGGGGTAGATCAAGAAGCTGACTTGGGAGTTGTATTACTTTGCTTGGTTGGCCACCACAAAATACCACAAATTGGGTGGTTTGAACAACAGAAATTTATTGTCTCTGAGTCCTGGGGGTCAAAGTCCAAGATGGAGGGGTTGGCAGGGTTGGCTCCGCCCTTCTGAGGGATTTGAGGGAGAATCTGTTCCCGGCCTCTCCTCTAACTTCTGGTGGTTTGCTGCAGTGTCTGGCATTCTTTGTCTTGTCGAACCATCACCCCGATCTCTGCCTCTATCTTCACATGGTGTTTCCTGTTTGCGCGCCTGTCGTCAGGTGTCCCCTTTCTATAAAGATACCCGTCATACTGAATTAGCACCCACCCTAATGATCTCATTTTAACTGGATTATCTCTCAAAAGATCTTATCTCAAAAATGAGGTTATATTCTGAGGTCCTGGGGGGTTTAGACTTCAACATCTGAAGTTGGGGGAGGGGCACAAATCAGTCCATAACAGGAGGGAAATCAGATAACGTGTTGGGAGTCAGAAGTTGAACTGAGCAGGCTCTCCTGGGCTCTGCTGAGCTATCCTTGCTTCCCATCTCCCCACACTGTGCCATGGAACCCAGGGGCTGAGTGCTACTTCTGTGCTTGGACTTGTTTCCCCCTCCCCCAACTCTCTGTGGCATTCGGCATGGCACAGCAGTTACATGGGGCTGGATATTTGAACAAAGTGTTTAGGAAATATCTTTAAACATCTGAATTTGCAACATCTTTCCCAGGCTAGATCACTTTGGTTCAAATTTTATCCCTTGGAGTTGTCATAACCCTTTCACTAGAGCTTGTGTGTGTGTGTTGTTAAAGAAGGTTGGTGTCAATAAGCTTGGGCTCATTGGGTAGGAACTGAGGAGATACTGGAGAGTTTTCAGGCAAGAGTGGCATGATGAGTGTTTTTGAGGGGTCATTCTGAAAGCAGGTTGAAGAAGGGATTTGAAGAAGTCAACACTGGAGGCAGGAGGCCCAGGCAGATGTCTCGTGCAGTGATTCAGATGAGAAACAATCAGAGCATAGACTAAGGCATGGGTGCGTGGTAGAGTCCTTGGGAGCTTTCAAAATATCCGTGTTCAAAAAAAAACAAAAACAAAATATCCGTGTTCAAACCCCACCTCAGACCAACTAAACCACAGTCTTTGGAAGCAGGACTCAGACACTGGCTCAGTTTTATTAATGCTCTCTCGGTGATTCCAGTGTGAGGTCAAGGCTGTGAACCACTGACTTAAGGCAAGACCATGGGGAAGGTTTGGAGCAAATAGATAGAGGCTAAGGAAGTAGAACCACGGGTTTTGGCAATCCAGTGAAAGACTGACAGGGAGGACAAATAGGGAGGGTGGGTCCGGTGTTCTTGCTTCACTGGGCATTACTATAGCTACTAGATATACATTATACATTTCTAAAGAATTAGAGCATTCTGAGGTATACAAATACCAAAATTATAGTTCAGCACTGCACTAGATGTCCATGTAGAAGGAAGGGTTGGGACATAAACAACTGCCATCTCCATTGTCCCGTGGTGCATTTCACGTACCCTTCTGTCCTGTTCGGAAACCTTCAGGGACCCACCCATGTTTATATAGTAAATTCCACATTCCTTGCCTGGAAATCAAGACATGATGCTTCCACCCAACCCTTAAATAAATCCATTTCTCAAACTATTTTCTGTGGGTTTTACAAGACTGTACTATAAATTAGTATCTGTATTGGGTATGTGATATGCATCAGCCACTGAGGCATTTATTTTATTTTTTGTTATTTTATTTTTTATTTTTTTATTTTTTAAGATTTTATTTATTTATTTGACAGAGAGAGAGACAGAGAGAGAGGGAACACAAGCAGGGGGAGTGGGAGAGGGAGAAGCAGGCTCCCCGCAGAGTGGGGAGCCCAATGTGGGATTCAATCCCAGGACCCTGGGATCGTGACCTGAGCCGAAGGCAGTTGCCTAACCGACTGAGCCACCCAGGCGCCCTATTTTATGTTATTTTAAAGATTTTATTTATTTATTTGAGAGAGAGAGAGAGAGCACAAGCGGGGGGAGGGGCAGAGGGAGAGGGAGATACAGGCTCCCCACTGAGCAGGGAGCCCGATGTGGGACTTGATCCCAGGACCCTGAGATCATGACCTGAGCCAAAGGCGGACGCTCAACCGACGGAGCCACCCAGACACCCCAGGCACTGTCTGAGGCATTTAAAACTATATTCTTCCTAATTCTCCTAACAGCACGGTATGGTTGTCTTTATCGTCTATCTTACATGTGACAACACTAGGCTCAGTAATGTTATGCAGTCCCCCTAAGTTCACCCAGTTAGTAAATAGCAGAACTGGGATTTGAACCCAGGACTATAGGTCATCACATTATTCCTACCACACCACACTATCCCCTTCACTATGAGTGTTTCAGCTTCTGCCATTTTGCACATGCTGTTACTTCTTTATGAAGTGGCCTTCCTCCAGTGGTGTGCTGGTGAATGTTTTATAACTGGCTTTCTCACTCTAGTTCTGCTGTGAGTATTGGTTGACATATTTTTTTTTTTACATAAATAAGTGTTTTAGGACATTACTGTTCATCAATGGCTTGAGGGACTTTGCTGAATCACATAACAATTTTCAAGTGCTAGAAGATTTCTTCAAGTTTTTGGTGCCAACTACCAACATGATTTTTTTTAAGATTTTATTTTTAAGTAATCGCTACACCCAGCACAGGGCTCAAATTCACAACCCCAAGGCCTAGAGTTGCTTGCTCTTCCAACTGAGCCAGCCAGGAGCCCCCCCAATATGATATATTTTAAAGTTGAATCTGCATTATTAAGATTTTTCCATTACTTTCTTAAGTCTAAACAACCAACAAAGCAATAGATCAAGCCCTGATTCATAGCATTTGCAGATTTCTGCACTGTAAATGCTCCCAGCATGGAAGAAATTTGGAAGAGCTGTGCAGTAGCACATTATATAATATATATATTATGTGTATAATATATATTAATGCTGTGTATTATATGGTATGTCCACCATCTAGATACCATAGATGTAAATATCCTGAAGAGCATAGAATACAGTAAAAGGCAGTAAAATAATGAAGAAGCAATGAGTTCTGAGTGTTTATTTAGATAATGTTCAATTATATATTAATTCTATATTATCTATTATAATATTAAGTAATATAAATATAAATTAATCTAAAGGGTGTACTTTATTTAATTTTAAGATTTTATAATTTAATTTTTAGTAATGGCTGCATTTAACAAATGGCTGCATTTAACAATATTCCTGAAAAAGGTAACCACCAGATCTCACAAGATGGTGTCAGCTGGCTCCCACACACCCCCGCTTTTCTTCTTCCTCTCCACTGACCCAGATTCAACCCAGTCTGCAAGATCCGGCCAAAACTCCAGCTTGCTACAAAACCTTCCAAGTACCCCATCAGGTCTTCCTGCCTGTAGATCCTTCAGTCCTTTTAGTGGATACCAGTCCTTAACAGCTATGTGATTCGATTGTTTAATTCCATCTTTTATTTTTAGTAGGTCTGTTTCATCAACAATCTGGTCAACTCTTTGAGGGTGGGGATCTTGCTTAGTACCTTTGTAGTTTCTAACAGGACTTAGCATCATCTTTGCACATGAAGTACTTGATATTATGCTGTTGGTTTAGTTGCTTTTTGGATAAATTAGCCAGATGCAGTTGTATCATGTCCATTCGTCCCCATCTCCTAAAGATGAGCACAAAAATACCCGTCTGGTTCCAGGCAAATGAGTATTGATTGTGTTTGCTTAGCTCACCCGCCCCTGACTTTGGGGGCTGCAAAACTCACTTAGTGTGACCTTGGTACACACTGTTCACATCTTCAGACTCTTTCTTTTTTTCTTAAATTTAATTTATTTATTTGACAGAGAGAGACACAGTGAGAGAGGGAACACAAGCAGGGGGAGTGGGAGAGGGAGAAGCAGGCTCCCCGCTGAGCAGGGAGCCCGATGCAGGACTTGATCCCAGGACCCCAAGATCATGACCTGAGGCGAAGGCTGACGCTTAACGACTGAGCCACCCAGGCGCCCCCAGACTATCTTTCTGTGAAAAGATCGTCCTTTGGCCCTCAGAGTCCTTGGCAGCCCACATCCAAGCATCATTATTGTATGCCATTACTTGCCTCCCCTGAGCCACCTCATCCCTTTCTTATGCGGGAGTTCTATCTACCTGTTGAATTTTGAATGAAAGCCCAATGAACAGAAGCTCTGTGCTGAATTTTGTATTTTGTTCCTTGCTGGGCTTCCATGAATATAAAACACCAACACAAAGGGGAGAGTCAGCAGGTAGAGATCAACACCATCCATATTTAATGGGAAGGGAGTCTGACCTCATAGATGGGAAAAACCATGGTAGAAGAAGGCCAAGTTAGGTAACTTGTCCATGCTTACAGAGAGAGCTTCTGGCAAAAAAAGGAATATATATCTTATAACAAATTTTCCTGATTTGTAGAACCATCATTTTAATTCCTAAGGAGAAAAAAAAACCACAAACAACTAAGGGATTAAATGGTGATTGGTAATCAGGAGATTTCCTTCACCTACCATGGGGTACAAAAGTAAGGACATGGAGGGGCGCCTGGATAGCTCAGTTGGTCAAGCGGCTGCCTTCAGCTCAGGTCATGATCCCAGGGTCCTGGGATCGAGCCCCGCATCGGACTCCCTGCTCGGCGGAGCGCCTGCTTCTCCCTCTTCCTCTGTCTGCCCTCTGCCTACTTATGCACTCTCTCTCTCTCTCTCTGTTAAATAAATAAATAAAAAATCTTAAAAAAAAAAAAGAGTAGGGACATGGACCCACATCCTTCACCAAGAACCTAAGCTCTGTGTGACTGGGCTGGCCCACTGCCCACCAGTCTCTTTCTTTAGGGGAAGACACTGGAACACTCACAGTCCCTACCCTCTACCAGAAAGTCAAGGATCCAGAGACTCCTGGAGCGAGAAGCACAGCGGTCTCCCTACCTGTCACTGGGTGTGTGGCTCCCGATGCGGGACCCATGGTGGCTCTTGGCAAGGCTGTCCCAGGTAAAGCATCTCAGCAGTTTCTCCCCTGGCCCTCGGTGGTTTTCGCCTTCTTTCTGAGGCAGCTCTTCTGGTGGCAGCCTGACCAGTAGCGGTAGCTTCAGTTATAGCACCTGCAGCTCTCAGTAGCTGTGGCTCCCAGAATCCCCTTCAGGGTTCCTGGGATCTCTGTTCTGTCTCCGGACTCTCCAACAGTTGCCACGTCTCTCTGCAGCTGGACAGACACCACCGCTTTTCTGCGTCCAATATACAAATTAATACATTCTTGTAATACCTACATCAACAGACATAAAACACGGAGTCTCATGGGGCGCCTGGGTGGTTCAGTCAGTTAAGGGTCCGACTCTTGGTTTTGTCTCAGGTCATGATCTCAGGGTCATGATCAGTGCAGAGTCTGCTTGAGATTCTCTCTCTCCCTCTGCCCGTCTCTACCTCCCATTAAATAAATAAATTAATAAATAAATAAACATTTAAATAAAAACATGGAGTCTCACCATTGTGCCCTGTTCCTATTTACACATACTCCTTTTGCACTGGACATACAAGCATCAGTGAATATCCAGAAAGATCTAGGAAGTTCCCAACCTACACTCAGTGGGACTATGGGTTGCATTCTTATTCTCACTGCTGCTTCCTCATTTAAATAGTTTTCCAGTTATTCCTTCATTCAACCACCCACTCAATATTTCTTGAGCACCGACTATGTGCTGGGGACCACACCCTGGAGAACTAGACCTAGTGCTCCTATTCAAGGTGCTCCTAGTCTAATAACAATTGTTATTATAACAACATCAATAATCAGAAATACTTATAAGATGTTTAGTATGTGCCATTCCTCGATATCATTAGGTAAATACTCGTTCTTCCCCTCTTTCAAGTGAGAAACCAAGGCACAGAGAGGTCCGGCTGCCCATGTTCGCGCAGCAAGTCAGGTAAGTCGGCAGCCTGTGTTTCGTGTCCTAGCGCAGTGAGGCAGGGAAGCCCCTTGCCGAGAGTATACTTGTGAGTCAGGAGTGTTTCAACCCTAACCTGGTTATACACCCCCACCCCCACCCCCACCTCACTCTCGGATTTTCCAGAGGTAACACCATTTAAAAAAGAAAAAAATAATTGTTTTTAAGAAAAGCTAACAGGAAAGCAGTAACCACAAAACGAGAAAGTAGCCCTCTAAAATGGGAAAAGCGTCCGGCTTCAGGATTGACGTAGCCTTTACGTGTGTTTCCAGCTCTTCTGAACTCAACCCTATTTCTGGAGAAAGGGTCTGCACAGGGTTGAATTAGAAAGAGTCAGAAAGATCTGTGATTGCTAAGAAGCTGTCCGGGAACACAGTCCAGGTAGAAAAGAGCAGGTGCACGGAGCCCATCTCCTTGCATCTGGGGGAAGGCTTTCCGCGGAGCACCTTGAACAGGCGCACTAGGTCTGGAAGTCGGTGCTGCTCCGACTCCGGGGTACCTGGGGTATCTGCAGGGTCGTGCCCCCCGCCCCCCCGCCCCAGTAATCGATCCGCTCTCTGAATGTGAAGCGATGCCAGATCTCCTTGTGCCAGTCTCTCAGGAACTGAGAGAGGCCATTTGAACGTAAATCAGATGACCAACAGTTTGAGAGGCTTCATCAGTACACACTGTGGTGATAGCCACGTGATGCCACAGCCCTCATCAGCTCTGTCAACTCAGAGAAGAAAAGAAAAAGTACAGTGCAAATCCTCCCCCCCCCGCCCCCCCCCAAGGTGTCATGAGATCAAAAGTAGTCCTTAGATTGACCTGTGCAGCCGGTTGTTTGCTGTCCTGTAGTGATGACAGCCCGTGGTTTGTTTCTGGCTTTTGGGTGATCATCTGCTTTGGTGATCAGCTGAGAACTCTTGCTGAGAACTGAATCCTCCTGGTGGTATTTTTCCACACCCAACTGGGGCATGACAGAAGTTTTTCCTGTCAGCAAGAACAGAAGATGATGCCAAAGGGAAGGAGCTTAATGAGCTCTTGGCAGTGAGTCTACGCTTATTTCTAGAAGAAAGGGCTTAGGTTCCAGTGTGGTTTTGCAAAGCAGTAATTCTTTGTTGGCTTCTTCATAGCCGTACTTTTCCTAACTATGGGGAAACGGTGACAGTAAATCTCTTTAAGTAATACAGGGCATTTAATGAAAATTTTTTGTTTGAGGCTAAGAGATTTGGGGGGGCCTTGCCAATTATTTTTTTTGCCTTCATTTCTTCAATTATTCTTTCTTTCCCTTTGTCTCTCTCTCTTCCTTCTGGGACTCCTATGGTGCATCTGTTGGTATGATTGATGGTGTCCAACAGACTTTTTTTTTTTTTCATTTTTCTTCATTCTTTTTCCTTTTATTTTCTCAGACTATGTAATCTCAATTGATCTATCTTTAAGTAGTAAAATTTTATTTTATTTTTAAAGATTTTATTTATTTATATAACAGAGACAGCAAGAGAGGGAACACAAGCAGGGGGAATGGGAGAGGGAGAAAACGGCTTCCCAGTGAGCAGGGAGCCTGATGCGGGGCTCGATCCCAGGACCCTGGGATCATGGCCTGAGCTGAAGGCAGACGCTTAATGACTGAGCCACCCAAGCGCCCCTATATAGTAAAATTTTAATTCCAGTTATTGTACTTTTCAGTTCCAGGATTTCTGTTTGGTTCCTCTTAATAATTTCTCTCTTTATTGATATTTTACTTTTGGTCAGACACTGTCCTTGTGATATCCTTTAGCTCTTTGAACACATTTAATGTAGCTGACTCAAAATCTTTTTCTAGTAACTCCTGTGTCTGGGCTACCTCAGAGACAGTTTCTGTTGAGTGTTTTTCTTTCCCCCTGTGTATGGACCACATTTTCTTGTTTCCTTCCATATCTCACAATGTTTAAATGAAAACTGGACAGGTTGAACTTTATAATGTGTGACTTTGGAAATAAGATTCTCCATCTTCCCCAGGGTTTGTTGTTTCTGCTTGTTTTTGTTGTTGGCTTTTTAGGGACTTTGCTGAGCCAGAGTTTAAGTCTATATTTTTGTCATTTTTGACCCCCGAAGTTCCTATTCTGTTAGCCTCGTGGTCAGGCACTGAGTGGACATAGATTTTCTTCAGTGTTTGGAAATCAAATATCTCCGAGTTTTTGCCCAGGGGCTGCGTGTGTGTTGGGGTGCACCTTCAGTTCTCAGCCAGGCAGTTTGTCACTCTGCTTTAGTATTCACTTCCTGTGCATGCACAGAGTCAGGATCAGCCAGGAGCGAGGATGGAAGGCCTTCTCAGGTCTTTCCTGAATGTGTGCATGGTCCCGTTTGTGTGTGTGGCTTTCCAGATTACCAGGAATACGTTGGAACTTTTCTTTTTATTTATTTATTTAAATTTTATTATGTTATGTTAATCACCATACATTACATCATTAGTTTTTGATGTAGTGTTCCATGATTCATTGTTTGCATATAACACCCAGTGTTCCATTCAGTACGTGCCCTCTTTAATACCCATCACCAGGCTAACCCATCCCCCCACCCCCACGCTGGAACTTTTCAAAGCCCTTATGCCCCAAGGGTAATATTTCCCAGCATTCCTCCATGCTTTTTATTTATTTATTTATTTATTTTTAAGATTTTATTTATTTATTTGACAGGGAGATAGAGAGCACAAGTAGGCAGAGCGGTAGGCAGAGGGAGAGGGAGAAACAGGCTCCCCCCTGAGCAGGGAGCCCCATGCAGGGCTTGATCCCAGGGTCCTGGGATTATGAACTGAGCCGATGGCAGCTGCTTAACTGACTGAGCCACCCAGGCGCCCCTATTTTTTAAAAATTTTTAAGAAGTTTTTATTTATTTAAATAATCTCTACCTCCAACATGGGGTTTGAACTCATGACCGCAAGATCAAGAGTCGCATGCTCTTCTGACTGAACCAGCCAGGCGCCCCTCCTCTATGCTTTTTAATCTATTGTTCCAGTTGTAAATTGTAAATGTTTTTACAACATTGTAAATGTTTTTGACAAATGCCCCTTGGGTAGTGGTTGTAGTGTTGGGTGTGTTCCAGTTAGGGGAGATAAAATGTGCCCTTTGAGGGGCGCCTGGGTGGCTCAGTCGGTTGGGTGTCTGCCTTCGGCTCAGGTCATGGTCTCGAGGTCCTGGGATCGAGCCCCGTGTTGGGCTGCCTGCTCCGCGGGGAGTCTGCTTCTCCCTCTCCCTCTATCCCTCTCCCCTCCGCCCCCGCCCGTACTCTCTCAAATAACTAAAATCTTAAAAAAAGGACACAAAACGAAACACATGCCCTTTGAGCAGACCTTCCCTAGAGGCACCGGGTAGATCACCAAGGACAGTTCTCTGCAAATGAGGATGGCTCTGCTCTCTAGTACCAGCATGGGTACTGGGACTGTGGGCTATGACTTGCAAGGCGGCTGTTACGCCGAGGACAGGCCATGGGACTTGGGGAAGTGAAAATGCCCCAGGGCTCACTGTGCGTACTGCGATTCAGCCCTTTTTGTTGATTGAGTGCCCCCAAAGTTGTAGCCAGCTATTGGTTCATTTCCAGAGTTCTAGAAAAAGTTGATTCTGACATTTTTTGGCCAGTGTTTTAGTTGCTCTCGTGGAGGAGTGCACTCCTGCAGTTTCCTCCTCTGACATTTTCACTGGCACTGGCTTGCCTGCTTTTCTCACAGGGTTGTTGGATCTTATTCTTGTGTTCTTAGAAGTTCTTTCTTTCTTGGAGATATTATTTTGTGATCTTTTTAAAAAAACTTTTTTATTGTTATGTTAATCACCAATTATTTTGTGATCTTAGCAATAAATCGTTTTGTCCAGTTCATCTTTTGGTATTTTACTTTGTTCATGGTGTTTTGACCGCTATAAAACTTTTTGGTTATTATGTCATCAAATTTATTAACCTTTTCTATGGATTTGAGCCATAGCGAGAAAAATTGCCCCTCTCTCTAATTCCAGAGCAATTTACATATGTTTTCTTAAGGTATTTATATAAGTTTCTGTTTTACCTGTAAATCTCTAATCCATTTGGATTTTAATATAGTGTGTAGTGTGAAAAATGGAGCCGATTTTATCTTTTTCATATAGCTAGCCAGTCACACTGTTAGCATGAATTTTTCCTCTCTGACTTGAGATGCTTCCTTTATTGTGTATGAAATTTCCATGTGCAGTTAGGCCTAGGTCTGGATTTTCTATTCTGTTCCACTGGTTTCTCTAGTCATGGGCCAATGGCATACTGTTTTTTAACTTATAGAGGTTTTATTTTATATAAGCCAGTTCCCTGTCCTCCTCACATTGCTTTTCTTTTTTTAGGTTTTCTCCCCCTGGCTATTATTGTTTGTTCTTCTTCCAAATGAACTTTGTAGTACAGTTATTTTGTGCCAGACAAAAATTCCAATGACATTTTATGTTGGAATTGTGTTAAATTTATATATTGCCTTCATGATAACTGATATGCCAAAACGTGCTATATTTCTGTACTTTTTCAAGTCGACTTTTGGGACGTAAAGGAATGCTTTGTAGTTTCCCCCATACAGATTTTTGGCATTTCTTATTAAGTTTGCACTTAATGTGTTTTGATATCATAAATGGGGCATTCTCTCCCATTCTAACTGGTTCTCTTTGTATATATAAAGCCTACTAATTTTGGTGCATTGATTTTATAATCTGCTATTTTATTCTTACATATAATAGCTTTGCCATGGGATCTTTTGGGTTTTCCAAATATAAAATAATACCAGCTGCTGGGATATTATGTTTTGGTGGTTTTAGCAAGGACTGGGAAAGCTCCCTTGTGAGAGAGTTCTGGACATCACTATTTATTAATAAGACCTACACGCCAAGGTAACCCTCATACACTTCAGTGTTTCTTATGGTGTTACTATGATTGTAGGCCTAAACTAGCCTCCGCCAGAGAGTTTGAAAAGTGACATTATCAGGATCCTTTGTGTCTACAAATACACCTCTATAAACACAACACATACACACACAGTCTGTTTTGTTTTTGAGAAGTAAATGCATGTGCAGAGCCGAAGACGTTCTACCCCATGAGGTTACCAGGTAAATCAGGGCACTGCTGTTGAAAATGACCAGCAACCATGGTCTGCCAAAACTGGGATAATAATTCCTGACCTTGTGCTGAAGGTCTTTACTTTCTCAGTGCACTTTTGTGCTTCACATTCTTTTTTACTCTAATGTTACTCCCGTGGCGTTACATGGGGTGGTGGCGATCCCATTCCCATTTCCCAGAAAACAGGGCTCCCCGGGCTAGTCAGCTGGCTAAGGGAGGAGCAGGGATTAGAACTCAGATTTTCTCTCTTAATGTCTCTTCTCTCCAGCATACTCAAATGCCTGCAAACCCTTTTGTTGCTATTAAAGCCCATTTCTTACCTTCCCTCCGAGGAATCCGGAACAGCTGCTCAGCATCCCCTATTATACTAGCTCTTCATATGTATGAATCCTGTGATTTTGTTCCCTTCCAGCTTCCCCTTCGGCAGGTTAAATCGCCCCGATTCCGTTCCTCGTAGAGTTTATCTCCCACCTCTTTTGTCAGTTTTAACAAAGAGGTTGTGACTCTTGGGTCCCTGCTCAACAGAGCTCTTCCTCATTATTTTGTAACCTTTATACCTCCTTCCAGGGAGAGTTAAATAAAGCCTGTGGATTTTTGATATGAATGTCTGGCAGGCTCATGCTCACACAGAAAGGTTTCCAGCAAGGCTCGCTGATGAAAGCCTCACTCCTGTGACTGAGTCTCATTCATGGCAGATGAAAAGCTGTAGCTCCTCTTCTCGTTCCAAAACCCACAAATGGGGAGGGTGCCCACATGAAGGTCCAAATTCCAGAGCAAGTACCATTTTGGCAGGAGGAGATAGGTTGTAATGAGAATATTTAGACACT